ATAAGAAAGGTTCAATATATATTGATACATTGTTTATGAATTTTGTAACAGTGAGGAGGTATAACACATATTTTATGTGTTTCCTTTCCTATCTGTATTTCAAGAGCATGGTTTTTGAGTTTGAGAGCAGAACTTAACTTACTGACCTTACTTGCTCCGCTTGTGCTCAAATTGTGTGCTTGCACTCTGATATTTTGTTGCATGGACAGATTATCTGCACTCGTGTTTCAGCACTTTCAAATAAGTAAAGCTCTTACACTCACACTGAAGATAGGACAAAATCAAATTTCATCAGCAAATCTAAGCACAAACAAGGGCCGTTTGAGTGCAAGTGCAGGGTTTGTTCTGTGGTAAGTTACATTACCTTGTAAAGCAGGTTTCCCTCCTCCATCAGCTTCTGAAGAAGAATGATCAGTATATCAGGCTTAGAGGTCGCCATTGCCCAAGCAGCGTTCCCTGTCGGTGAAGAGAGGGAAAGGAGAGCAGTGAAGAAAGACTGGTTAGGATTTTGTAATTGTCAACAACAGACAGTCACTGTATTCTCTGGGAATTGGTACAAGGTAAAGTTACCTAAAGATTGTACCTGATCGATCGTAAGGAGATGTTCTGTAGCCTTAGTTTATTGAAAGCAGTTAAAAGAAAGAGAGTCGGGAGGAAGAGTGAGGAGAAAATGTTTGACAACAAGAGTAGTCATTTGATGTGAAATGAAAATGTGTTTAAAAAAAGTGAGGCGTGACAATGTGCAATTATGTGTCACTCAGCTTAAAATGGCCGTGTAATTTGGGCACTAAATGCATGCAGGCTGTGTTAACTTTGCTGAAAGGAAATTTAAAAGGTCTAACTTTTATTTTTCTGAGACAGCAGAGTGCAGCGCAGATAAGCCACAGACCCAGATACCTTTAAGAATGTCATTTAGATGATAAGTCACATTCTTAAATTAGCTCTGCAGCACGAGGGAGAGGATGGTCACGCACGCACGCACACACGTGAATGAAAAGCAGGAATGGAAACAGGGTTTTTTTTTTCTTCCACAACATTCCACAAAATTAGTCTGAGCTTATTCTTAGCACTATTGACAGCAGCTGAGACAGAAAAACAAAACAAAACACTGAGAGTAATACATTGGAAGGAGCCGTATGTGAGAATGCAAATGTCTGAGTCAGTTGCTCTGGACAATTTCAGCCATTTTTCCTGCCAGGTCCCTGGTCGAGAAAATGTCTGAGTGACAATACAGAGGGAAAATTCATAGCAAGTGAGTGGGTGTGTTGATGTTGTTTTATACACGCAATGGACGCAAAACTGAAAGAATACAAACGTCAGGATGAAAAACAAAAGCCAAACACCAGGAAATGCAGACAGAGATGACAATGCAAAAAAACATTACAGCTGAGTCAGTAGCTTCTTCTCCCAACGTCTTCTAAACCAAAACATCAACATTTCTGTATCAGATTTTATAACCCAGGTGCCACCCCTTGCCTAAATGTATCAGACATTTTCCTGTTTTTTTAACCCAAACAATCTCCTGCTACGTTCCTATGTCCAGTTCATGTCTGAAAACTGAAAACACTTCTAAGTTGTCTTCTTACCCAGCTTGGCCCCTTTCTTCAGCAGAGTCACCACCACCGACGTGTTCCGACAACCTATGGCCCGGTCCAGAGGCCTCATCCCGCTGTAGTCAACATGCTCTATCACTGCTCCTCTTTCCACCAAGTACTGGACCTAGGTGAGAGCGCGGAGAGTTAAAGACGCACTGTGTCTGTTGACAGTTGAGAGTGTGGTAAGTAAGTCACAGGGATGCTCATAGTTAGCTAAATGAAGTGTGTTTGTGTACGTCTGTGAGTGCTCCCATGGTGAGTGTTGGGCAAGCCTCAACTTTTCTCACTCACAATCTCTGCATCTCCGTAGAAGGCAGCAAGGTCCAGCGGAGTTCGTCCGTTCTTGTCTGTGTGGTCAATGACCGCACCTTTCTCCACCAAAAACTGCACAACGTTCTTTTGTCCTTTCAAACATGCCCAGCTCAGGGGTGTCAGCCCCTCCTTGTCCATCGAAGTCAAGGATGCACCTACAAGACAAATGAAACATCAGTTTCAAGTTAAATTTAAGACCTTTTCAGACTGAATGGAAGGAATTGAAGACCTATGTCAACTACGACAGATGTGAAGGAATATCAGATTCCACGATTTATGCACTTTTCCATAATTAAAGAAAAGGTGAAGGAACCTAGAAGAAAATAAACCTTTAATCTGCTATGTTATCTCACAAACTGCAGACTGTTATCAGTTCCATGTTGGTCTTGTTTGTTTGAGCAAGTAACATTTATACTGATACTTACATCTCTGAAGAAATATCAAAGTTAATAGTATTTTTAAAAAAAGCTAATAAAACACTGGTAAAAAGACTCATGGTGGTGGGTGTGTTCTGTGGTGCTGGTGATGATGTTTTTGTAGTTCACCTTTAGAAAGCAGAAACTCAACGGTGCTCAGGTGACCCTCACAGGCTGCCACCATGAGTAGGGTCCTGCCCTGCTTGTCACTGATGTTAATGTCAGCACCACGCTGCAGCAGCAGCTCTGCGATCTGTCGGGGAGCCGAAAACATATGATGAACAGATATTATTATCTAATGAGTTGTTTGAAACAGATTCACTAGCAGAATAGAGTCAAGTGGAATAGTTTCTTGCCACTAAGCCTCTCTCACCTGCCAGTGTCCCTGTCTGACAGCGCAGAACAGAGGAGACACCCCCCGCCGGTTGACCTGCTGCACCACCGCCCCCTGCTCCAACAGGAAGCTGCAAACCTCCATCTTCCCCCGACCAGCAGCTGCTGTCAAGGCTTTAGAGAGAGAAGAGCGGGACACAGACGCAGGAATTTTAACCATTTCATTTAACAGCACTCAGCTGAAGAGGTCACTGAGAAGCAGGGACATAAGCGAACATGATAACATGTAGAGTGTGCTGCTCCACTCTCTCTCAGAAAGAGACTTTGAATGGTTGCCGCTAATTGAGTTTAAAAACAGACAATTACGTTATGCTTATTAATCTCATTAAATTCCTGCCTCAAGCTCGACACGTCTTATACAGAGAGATGAGGAATCATTCATTTTATGCATCAGCAGACGAACATTACACAACAAAGTCAAACAATTTGTGTTTATATTTTGTATCTTTTTCAGACCGAGATTAACTGGAATTAACTCTGTGTCGAATGCATTTTTAAACAATAAAGGGGAAACAATGTTGATTTACACTTGAATTTAAGTCTGAGGAGAAAGCAAACACATTCTTGAAATGTTTAAACGCTCACATTTAATCGTCGGCTGCTGACGTGCGGTGGCAGATGGGACGGTTTTAAGTGAGAGCTGATTGCACAAACAGAGCGAGAGCGGCCACGAGAATCAGAACAGCGCTGCTCGCGTTTTCACCTCGGAGAGATTCGAGGTGTCGTATCTGACTGACATCATCCATCTGGATAAACAGTCACAGAGAGCCAAACAACCCCACCCTCCATCTGCTCGAAATATGGATACCCTAAACTTGCAGCACAGCGAAGCACGATGACTTGAAGCAGCTAAACTTAGGCTCTTGTTTGTGCTCCTGGGAGAAGCATTAGCAGCACCTGGGATGGTTCTGGGGAACAATAGACGCACTATCAACATCAGTGATGATGTTCATTGAATTCTTAGAAGTTCTTCATGCTCTAAGTTCAGACTACTCCACCTTTAAAGTTGTCAAGTAGCTTTTTCAGTTTTCACAACACGACTTGCTTGCTTGTGATCGGGAGTCTTTGAGTTTACAGAGCGACTCAGGCTGGATTTATCCTGGGCAGTATGCAGTTAATGTCAGCTGCATTCAGTTTGTGTTTGTATAAAAAAAACTGCCCAGCAGACAACAAGACATGACCCAAAACTGAATATAAATTCAAATGTTTTGTCCAAACCAGGCTTGGTACGTCAGCTGCCATCGGATCCAATTCCCAAAGGGCTTGGGTCGGGTATCCACATATAAATACATGATCTTTCATCAGGAGTAACCCCTGACTAGTGTGCGTGTGGTTTACTTTAATTAGTTTGTCTCTAATTTGTCCAGATATTTAGCAGCTAGAAATCTAGTTGGGGCCTTTTTATCGCATTTTTGAAGAGTTTGACACAGCAATTGGCAACTGCCTATCAAGAGGAGCTGCAGTTTCTGACTGTGACTCAGCAAGTGGAAAATCAGGCTAAAAGTCATGGAGTGTGAAATAGGCATTTAAGCCAGTCACACATCCTCCTGCTATAATATTTATTCCACACATGAGTGTAATCTCACTAGCATATTTCTTTATATCACAGCATCAACACTCTTGCACAGAACAAAACTCCCTTTTCTTTCTTATTTCACTGTGACTGCTGGAATAAAATCCTGTCTCATTTGTCTTATTTTCTACATTAAACTATTCATCAGCCTCAGCTCTCCTCTGCCTGCTCATCTATCTTCACCCTCATAGCTGCACTGACAGTGTCTTGAGGAGGAGCCTCTAAATAATAACTGTCAGAAAAAAATGCTGTTTCACCACCAGGCAGGAGAAAACTTCATCACACCGACAATCACAATAATGAAATTTCAGTTTAAGATTACATTTAAAAAATGCTTAAGGGTCTAACATTGTTCCCCGGGTTAAATTCATGAATGACTAAATTATGCATGATTCAATAATTGACAAAAATGTCAATTACAAAAGGTTGCAGGCAATTTATAAAAGGCAACACGGAGCCATTGATTGTGATTTGTAAAATGCAAAACTTGTTTTGCCTGGAGATGTAGCAGATGTGAAATCACCTGAGAAGCGTATTTTTGACAGTGCACACGTTGCTCTGCCTTCACCTCTGTTAAACAAACTCTAGATTCAGAAATGAGTGAAGAAGAAATTAAAAGCTCAAGGAAGGTTTGTGACTATAAGAGGCATTTCACCATGTAAATTCCTTTTTACAAGCATAATAACATTCTAGATGAAGAATCTTTTCTAATTCAAAAAAATAATATTCTGTGGTTTGATGACACAATAAAAGTTCCTATGATTGCTACTTGATGTGAAGTCAAGTGAATATTTTTTCCGAGGTATCTGAATACATCTGCCTCAGGTAGCTCATGCTGTGCTCCTAAACAGTATGAACACTTCACACTCTTCACATATTAAAGGAAATAAAAGTGAAGCCTTGTACAGAGGAAAGAGAAACCTTGAGTTCATTTTATAACGCACATTATCGGAATGCATTTACACCATTTTAACTCTAAGGCAATGTAACATTACAAAATACATTTAAACATTATATATTGCAAAAATCACATTTCGTGAGTTCACAATGAACATAAATATATACTGCTTCCAATTAAATTGATTACTAGTGATATACATTTGCTGTAAGATGTTAAATACTGATTTTTGTGTTCACAGACAATTTTTTCATAAAATGATATTATATTTAGATTTAAAAATTCAAGTTTTCAACTGACAACAATTTTCTTCGCCTTAAACGAATCCTGCTGCTGCTGCGTGCTCACAACAATGAGAATGATTGGACGCACTTAAATAAGGTGTTTTACGTCCCTCGATAGGATTTTAAAAGATGAAGCGTGCACAGATGTGCAGTGCAATGAGCCTGCCTCTATTTAAGCAGAGGAGAGCCTGGGTCTATTTGCATAAAGATGTAATATTCCATTGAATTTTAAATGTGAAATAGATTTTCACAGAGACAGGTTCTCGGTGGAAATTTTAATCAGAGAGAACGATGAAAGGCCAGTTTTTCAGTGGATATTTCAGGAACTTTTGTTCTGGTATTATCTGCATCAGAGCATCGGCTAATAATAGGCCAGATTATTAAAATAAACCTACATGCTGAGAGGCAGAAATCTGAGGTGAAACTGAGTTTTCATAAATGGTTATGTGAAAATGATTTCTGCTGTTTGCTTGTAGTGAGCTCCTGCCCTGCTGCATGTCTATCTGTGACACACAACTAGATATTCAGTTACTTTCTTTTTAAAACACAAACCTGGGGGCAAAATCTACATTGTGGTGAGAACCACGATCTCACTTTAAATCATTAATAGGTGGGTACAAAAATATGCTGCCATGTCAAAAGTTTGGGAGTACAGCCTGAGTGAGATTTGGGTGGATAACGACACAGATATTAAGTGAGTAAAACATTTCTTATACCAACATATCAGAAAATGTCAAAACAATTTCACTGTCAAATGATTCCAAAGATGTCGTTATCAAACCCTCATGACAAAGACATGCACCCGAGGCCTGATATTTTACAGTTTAACCATAAACCTTATTATAAATATCTATAAAGAAAAAAGAAAAAAAACACACCTAACCAAATATATAGAATTTGAGTTATTAAAAAACTGTATGTAAAATGTTAACAAAAATGCTATTTTTTTCTGCATTGTTTATTCTGTAGTATAAAAGTTTCATATCAGCAAACATAAACGCAGAATACAGTAACCTGTGAAAGGATCATTACTGTTATTTATAAAATGGTCAACAGGTCCTGGTTTTGAAGCTAAGCTACATATCAGGTTCAGTAATGTGAACCGAAGCTTTAAAAAATGGAAATACGTTTTCCAAATGGAGCAGGCAGGTGTTTCTATTGTAGCAGAACACAGTTTCTAGTCACATCAATGGGAACAGAGCAGCAGTTGTATAGAGGAATATTTCAGAGTGACGACTCTTTGTGTCAGGGACAGTAATAAGGTCTAAAAGCCTTCAGTCATTTAGCAGGGCACGAGCACCCGTTAACCACGCAGTGGACAGCCTCTCCACTAATAGGCTGACCTACATTCCTGAAGCAGCACCAAACTTTTACTGATAAACGCTGCTTTTGACTGAGACAGGCACAAAGAGACTATTATTAAAATTCTTCCTTTTTTTTAATCTATTCTGGTATGACGGTCCACAAACAAGCATCAAACACAGTCGCTGTCAAATTAGAAGAGGTATGATTTGAACATTTATAGCTACAGATCACTGAACTCGCAGCATAAAACTCACACTTAAGATGAGATGCACCATTTCAAACTTTTTCAAAACATTCCTCCATAAAAATCATGAAAAAAACTAAAGCTCGAAAATTACATGTGTCTCACACTTACATAATGTTTCAGAAATATATTTAGTACTTGAGTGCATTTGTCATCACATCACCTCCGCAATGACTTTTGATAAATGAATCCAGTCGCCTGGATCCTTCCACAGTGTTTGATAATTCTGTAGATGTGGACATGAGATTTGTCAAATTAGATTCTGCTCTGTGCTACTTTGTTCAGCTTTCATGTTACCAGCGTTACACCAGAGCATCGTCACCTCCTCCTGCTGCTGCTTTTAGACTTTACATTGTTTCCTGCTGCTCCACATGGCTTTTTGCACCATTACCTGACTCAATCTCAGAGGGCTCTTTAACAATAGCCTTGCTGTCCACGACATCTTATCCTGAGTATAGAGTCCATATTGAAGAAAAATGCTCGACATTAAAAAAACTGTAATATTAGGAGAAGAAATCAATAATTTAATTGATATTATAACAATAAAGAAAAAACAAATAGGACATAAGTAGCAAGGAGGACCTGTGCTCACTGGAGTTTCACTCCTGCTGGATCCAAAATCTTGATTATTAACCTCATTCTTTCATGGGGAAACAACTAAACCTCTTTGAATAACGCACAGATGCAAAGAATGATAGCCTCGCTGTCGACCACTGCCAAACTTTTCCTCCACTTTAAAAGAGTCAAGTATTCAGTGCTTTGTAAAATTTTCCTCGGTCCTCTAATGTTCCCCGCTGAAATGACACATAGCCTTGCTTATGACTTTTTTCTTGCAATATGACAAAATTTGTCTAGTAATATTAAAGTTTGTTATTACAGATTTTTAATCAGAATGTAATTCTACTGCACTACCCCTGCAACACCTAAATATGACTAGCAATGCATACAACAGATGGTGGAGAGACTTCAGAAATGCCCAAACTCTTGGCAGCATCCTAACACAGAGCACCAGAGGGATACTGTAGCTGAAATACCAGCAGCATGTTGGAAAATGATTGTTCAGAGGAAATACTGTGTTGACCAAACTCTGAGTAGAAACCCACATGACCACAATAACTAATGCTTTTAGCAGAAAAGTACAGCAGAGGAGAACTTGGAATGGCTTGCATAGCTGAGAGCGTTACTGTCGATGAGAGAGATCTGAGTTGGTCCACTGCAGCAGCATGCGATCACAGCAGTGTGGTCCAGAATGCTAAACCAGCAGGTGAGAAGACATCAGAGCCATGTAATGCAAAAAGATGGATGAAAACATACCTGTCTCTCCCCACAGAGTGTCGTGGCTATCAATTTGCACAGCGTGCTCATTACTCAAAGCCAGTAAGCTGCTCACAACCTGCCAAAAGAGAAACTTAGATTAATGGCATACTGTTTTGGAGCAAGATATCAAATATGGCTTCAAGAGGTTATGGAACCTGCAAAAACAAAAAAGATCAGACACTGCATGCCTGAGCAAATTATTACTAATTAATCACAGCAGACGAGACGAGAGCACTGCTGCCGCCTGAACCTCTCTGTGAGGTTAGGTGAGTTGAGCACAATCTGATTAATACTTGAACTTTAATGGGGTCTCCTTCTATATGTGGGTTGACAGCTTAGCTTGGCCCACTTCTGTTATTCTAAGCCGGGCCTCAGGATCCCATTCCAGCTAATGAGGAAGCCAAAATAAGCCTTGAGCCTAAATTGCACCTGGGCAGCCAAAGGCAGTGCGCTGTGGTTGATCCTTGAATGTTGCTTTCAAACACACAAGGCCAAATAACACTTCAAACTTGAAGTCGTCCTTACTGATTGAAAGATGTGCTCAGATTTAATTAAGATTTCTCTCTGCTCTTGTTGCTGGGAAAATACACAGGAAAGACTTGTGCTACTCTCAATTCAGTAAGTATTTCATTTTTGCATATAGGGTTTATATATGTGGTAGTCAGTAGCAAGCTCCACTCAGCACGTTATTTTTTTCATCTGTATTTGCTTGTTAGTTAGCACAATTATGCAAAATCTACTCTGATTTCCATTTTGTGAAGGGCTGACCCAAGAACCCATTAATTTTGGAGGAGATCTAAATAAATGGGCGGATCAAAGATTTTTTATTTTCTCTTCCGTGCAGCGTTTCCCACAGAATTAATTCAATCTATGGCGCTAGCAGGGGTGCACATGCATGAAGGTTGCTCTCACATGCAACAGATTCCGAGTGACAGAGATACACAGACTGAGGAGGAGAAGTTCTCATGTGACAGTGAAAGAATTGCATTCATGTTCTCTTGCAAATTCATTTCTTTTTGTAACAGCTATGGTTTCATTATATAGACATAAAAAACTCGCTAGTTTCTTTATCATATCTTCAGCTTGACAAAGTGTTTTTATACCAGAGGGGACTGGAATGTGTAAATATATGTGTCAGTCATACCTGTGTGTGTCCCATGCTGGAGGCTGCTATCAAAGCCTGCTGCAGAGCTTTGTTCTTCAGAGCACTGTCCTGCTGCTGCCCCTCGGCGCTCCATTCCAGCTCCAGCAGGTACTGGATAATCTCTGGGTGTCCTCGAAGAGCAGCATGGACCAGCGCACACTGGCCGCTCTTATCCATGTGATCAACCTGGCAGACACACAGGATTTTTGGTTATTCTGGCAAGGGGACACAGAAAATACATCCAAAATCTCAGGTGAAGGTGCAGCATGTTTAAATAGCCACAAATATCCAAGTGGCTGAGTAAAGTCTGTGCAGGTGCCCGTTTAATTTCTGTGATGAAAGAGAGGATGATTCCAAACTCATCTTTATTTCTAGAAGCAAGTGCCATTATCCATCCATCAATTATATTATATTACCACTTATTATTTGAGGCTCGTGAGGAAAGGCTGGAGCCAATCCCAGCAGGCATTGGGTAAGAGGTGGGGTACACCCTGGATAGATCGCTGGTCAATCATAGGCCAGAAAAACATTCAGTCACAGTCACACTCACATTCACACCTACGGTCAATTTAGAGTCTCCGATCAATGCTAACTCCAATCTGCATGTTTTTGGACTGTGGGACAAAGTGAGAGAAAAGACACGCAAGACATTTGAGGACATGCAAACTCCACATATAAAGGCTACAAACCAGGAACCTTCTTGATGTGAGGCGCAGGTTCTAAGCACTGCACCACCATGGCACCTTAGGGGAAGGTGGTTAATCAAAAATCAGCCTCCTCACCTTTGCTCCCCTCTTGCTGAGCAGCATGACTATTCCCAGGTGTCCTGCAGCAGCTGAGAAGCAGAGGGGGCTCATGGCATTTTCGGAGACTACATCCACACTGGCGCCAAACTCCAGAAGCAGAGAGGCAATTTCCTGGTGACCGAGGTGGCATTGGACGCAAAGCACTGGCGCGTTGTTCAGGACCTCCGTGCGGTAGTTCACGTTGGCCCCGCCCAGCATCAGTAGACGGCTCACCTGAGCGTACAAAAGTGAAAACACACACAGCTGGAGTTGGAACAATGTTATCAAAGCATACTCGACCATCTGTGCTACTATTGTTGCTCCAAACTATTTTCAATTGAACGCCCGCTTATGCAAAACACCAGAAAATATGTATTTTAGGTTTGCCTGAATTAAAGATAAATGTAGTTGGTAAAGTTAAGAAACAGAAGACTGCTCTGCTGCAGTTTCGAGGTTAAAATCAGGCTGTGTTTAATCATGTGAATTGTTATGCACTCAGTACTCATCTTACAATTTCCCTGAAGGCAGATAAAACATTTTTTCCACACTATTTGACAACATTACACAAAGGCATTACTGTGCAGGTATCTATAAAAAGGGATCTTAACTTCAATTTAACAGCATGAGTTTGCCATTAAAGAAATTTCACCACATCTTCATGGGTGAAACTACTTTCTACGGCAGTGAATTTTTATCAGTTTATGACTTTTAGGGATTTGCAGTGAACATGGATAATGACTAATTTAAACAGCAGAACCATGATCTCAGATTCTTAGATATATTTATTTCTCTGCAAAAGCTTAAACAGCTTTGGCCTAATTTAGAGATTTTCTCCAAGCAAAGGTCAGACACCAAATGAAGTGGTCACATTCTACTGAGGGGAAATTATCAAGTGTGTTACTCTCGTCCATGATTAGGAAATCAATAATAAATGTTTAGTCAAACACAAGCATCGAGCCAAATGAGTATCCGACAACAGGAAATTAAATTGTGTTATTTGCTGGATCCTCTTCCGAATAAATTAACGGCCATTCTTAGTTTACTTTTTTTCTCAGAGGACAGAACGAGGTCATTCTGCGAGTGTCTCTTCCAGCGATATTAAACACAATAACTCACAAGCAGACGCTGAAGATGACAGAAAGTGATGGAACACCATGGAAGCACTAATGAAAAAGAAAAATGCTCCATAATTTTGCTCATAGCGACGATATTTTATTTGGAAATAATAGCCTTTCCAGGAGAAAGACGAAAAATGTTCTCAGCCTCAAAATAAATCTGGGAGGTAGACCCCACAATGGACAAACATTTGTTGAATTAGTGTTATGTTGAACAGTTGGTTAATAATCGCAGTGCATCAACTGTGTGGACCTCCAGAAGAAACAAATCATCAAGTATCCAAGAAGAAATATATATCATTAACTAAACAAATAGAGCAGCCAGTTATAGAATTTCTCTCTCATCCAAGAAAAAAATGTGTATGATATATTAAAAAAAATATATTGTTCCCAATTAATCTTGCACTGACCTCTAAGTTCCTTAAATTTCCCATTTGCTTCCCCCTTGCACACATTCAATCTGTTATCTACTTTCCAATTTCCTCAAAATATTTTTAAATTTCCTTGTTGCTTAAATGAAATGGAGAATGCCCGACCAACGCGTGACACATAACTGACTAAAACTGACTATATTAGCCCAGAAATTCAGCCACTAAATGGAAGTGATATTAGAACAGACTCAATCTAGATCTAACAGCCTCTTTCATGTAACTTGTTAAAATGTTAAAGCTTACAGAAACAGCTTTAGAAAAAAAAATAATAATATAATTATTATATAATCATTAGAACGAGGTCATTCAGTGAGTGTCTCTTCCAGCGATATTATTAATTATTATATAATTATATACATGTATATATAAGTGTAAAGGTTTAAGTTTTATTTACTTTTTTCTACTTTTTGTTAATTTTCATCTAAAAGTTTCAGCTAATTTCCACACATCTTAACTTAACTTAGCTTTGACACATGCTTCTCTTTCTTTAGCTCAGAATTGGTCTAAATAGAACGGCGTCTGGGTCCGGATCTGGACCGTGGTCCAACAACGAGTAACCTCTGTCCTATATCTATCCTTACGCCATAAATTCAAAGACATTCTCTTATTATTACACATAAGCAAGAAGAAAAATGGGAAATATTGCAAGACATAAAGGTAGTATTCTAATTTGAAAAATGGAAAAGGTAGAATTTAGGATGCAAAAACACAAAAATGAGGTCAAAATATAAATTCTTATAACATGTCATGGCATTGTGATTGAATAGCAAATGGAAAATGGATTTAAGAGCTAGAATGAAAAAAGTTTGGAGCTGAAGGAGAAAAGTTCAAGCTCTTATTTTTACAGTCCATTTGGATGGTGGGACTCAGTATTATTACACGCATATTCATTTTCACTTTTGCCTGCCTGACAATGACAGTCACTTTTGTCCGTACAGACGAAGCCTACGGATCTGACTGAGGCCAATACATCAAGATGCATCAGTCTGAGCCAATGAGGATCTTTATTCTGCTTTTAATGGTGGTTTCAATTGTTAGTCTGTGCTGAGCTCACACCAGTTTGAGTGAGGAACAGAGCGTGACATTTCCTATGATTCACAACTTGATTGTCATCTGTGCAATTACAAAAGCAATCAGAGAGGACATTTAATGGTGTCACTAATAACACTTTGCATACTAATCATTGTGAAGTTTGATTTGAGAGTTTTAGGGGAAAATTCTTTTGACTGTGGAAAGAGAGGTCATTTTTTGGGCTGCAACTATTGATCATTTTAATAATGATGTCATATATAAATCTTTCATGATTCATCACCTAATTTTTAACAGTCAAACATGGCAGGAAGTTTCTGTCATAAGTCACCAGATTCTACTGTGAAAAAAACCTGAAGATTCTATTTATATCGACTGTAAACATTTCAACATGACATTTCAAAACAATAATTGATTTTTATTTTCATTATCTAATCAGCATTGATCTAATCTAATTAGGGCTGACAGTCTCAGGTCCATGTGACACACACAAGCTGGAGAACATCTGTACCTTGACGTTGGGGGTGTAGAGGTTCCTCAGGGAGGCCAGAGCTGCAGAAAGGCCATCGGCACTACAGCTGATCCACAAAGCCTGCAGCACACTGGACGACACACCTGTTTTCTTACTCAGGCCCTGCACACACACACACACACACACACACACACACACACATATATATGAATGCATACATAACATCAGTGAACATGAGCTGCACAAGCTGTCAGTGTTTGACTTCACATGCCATGGCTTATCCACAACACATGAACAGAGAGTGAACACCATGAAATTCCAAGAGGGGATGGATTTCAACCACAGAGGAATGCAGGCAGTATGTATATATTCAGTAGTTGTACCTTGAAGATGTGTGCTTTGAGGATGTGATGTCCCAGCTCCATGGTCTGCTGGCGATTCAGTTTCCCCTCTTGGCGGGACAACATGAAAGCCATGAGAGCATGTCCGGTCCTGGATTAGAAAACAGAAATTAGAGTCAGCGGTACAGAGTAGCACTTATATACTATGGAGTGTATGTTAATTATTTTGTTGCATACTTAAACATTCATAAAAACCCATTTGATTTTCAGCTTCACGTTTAACTCTGGATCATTAACGGTCTAGTGCGGTTGATGTTCATCTGCCTTGCCTAATATTAAATTACTTTATTCATCCTTGTCATGAGGAGCACCTTGGCACTGTCGTGGAGACGGTTGAGAGAACGAGTGTCAAACCCCTGGGTTCTCCTCTCAGTCGTCACTCAGACACTATTGCGCTAATTAATGCAGGACTTCATTAAAAGGACATGCATGATTGCAGATCACTTTGATCTAGTTAAAAATTTCTATCTGTTCGTGCCCTGGCGAACACAAGAGGCAGCACAGCAAGCTTTTTGTGTGCATGTGCGTTTCCCTGTGCCAGACCTTCGAGCCTTTGTTTTGCAATGACAGAGTTGGACTGCTGTGAATGACCAAACTCTGAAGCTCGCCTCTGGTCGGTGTACGAACACCAGCGTGTGATCAGAGGTGATACTGATGAGCAGCGGTGAGGAAAAATGGTGAGCAAAAGTTACATCATCCAAAAAGTGAGAATGACTGAGACCTCTTATGGAGGTGCGTGCGGAGGATCTGTAATTACAATTTGCTAAAACAAAACAAAAAAACTACAAGCATGATAAGAAGGTAATGATCATGTTCAGAAGATTTAAGAATCTTCTTAAAACGTTAATGTCAATGGAATACACAGTAAAATCAGTAAAGAGTAATAAATACATTATAGTAAAACTGATGTGAAATGTTAAGGCCAACATTTACCAGGCTTTTTGCTTATTTTGTAGTCTTTTCCTTTTGCATGATTGGCAGGTCAATTTCTACTGTGTGCTTTCAGTGAACAGGGACGTTAGTAAACACGAGATCATGGGAAAGATTTTAGCACAATACAAAAATTCAAAAATCTAAATTTTTACACCAAAATTAAGCCTAGTTTATGCTTCTGCGTCACATCCACGCCGTACCTAAACCGTGGACGTGATGCAGTCGTTGAGCATTCGAAGTTCTGCGTCGAGGGAGCGCGTTGCTCTGCAATTCACCACCATGCCGCTAGGGGGGTGTGGCTGTGTGTTTGTGTGGTTATAGCCGAATCCTCGCTTTTTCTTCCGTAAAGTAAAGTTAGTGGATATACGCAGGTTTGTTTTAAATGCAGCTTAACCCGCTTACAAAGGCTTTTGATTCCTTTTTCATTGCAGTAAAGGAGTTAACTTTTCTTTTCTTTTTTTTCCCAGGTCATGAGAGTCTTGTTAGACATCACAAACGCTGAGGAAACTGAGATGCTCTCTCACCTCGATGTCTCACCAAATTTGTGCATTCACCCGAGTGTCATATTTGTTTCTCTTGGTGTCTGAGCAGGAGCCAAGTAAAAACTATGTCTACTGCAGTCATGTGACCTGGGAGTGAGTGCCGATTGTATCCATTCCCTTTGAGGGGAAAGCCAGACATTAGTGGCTGTTAGTGGGTTTTTTGACCAGTCTAGAAGGGGCATCTCACTTACTCCACCAAACATTTAGCCTTACTCTGTGCACTTAGTTCTTCATGTCAGTTTACTTTACCTCCAAAACAGGCAGCTATGATTCACACATCCTTAATAACTAATTCAGAACCACACAAAGAGGTAAAAACCTCTAGAACAAATGATTAATCCTTAAACATGTATGTGCTTGTTATTTTTAGTCAAAATGCTGATTTTCAATAAGTCCCTTCAAAACTACAGGAGGGACATTTTGATTAAAAGTCAAACTGAGAATAATTTTCTAAACTGCCATGTAATTACCATCATGTATTAAATTATATTTTACTGCAGATTGTAGATGCAAGATCCTGGAACTAGCCTGACTGCAGACTTGTAATAGTGACCCACAGTTCTACAGGGAGAGCTGCTGAGTTACTACGTTTCATTAAAAAGCAAAGTACCGACCTGGGGTCACAGAGGAAGTCCGTGCTCTCTCCATCAGCTCTCCACACCAGCCACTCTCTGAAGGATGGGTGGCAAAACATGCGTGTCTTGTCTCGCCTTTTGATGAGGAAGCACGAGAGCAGCTCCATGCGCTGTTGAAAGTCCTCCCACTGCAGCTCACCTCGGACGAAGGTGGCGTTGATGGCCTGGAACAGCTGCTCGTCAGTCATGGGGTGCAGTGTGGCGAGCGCCACGTTGAGGATGGGCAGCGAGCGCTCGAAGGCTGAATTAGTCATGAACTTCATATTGCACTGTAACTGGTAGAGCTCGGCCAGCGAGACGGGCACCACTTTGTAGCTGGCACTTTTGATGACGAGGTGACCTCTCTCAAATAGGTCCAGGGTGAGCTTTAGATACAGGTAGGAACCCTGGCTGCGGGAGATCAGGTGGCTGCTGAGCTTACCGACGGTGATGGGATCGGCCTTCCCATTCAGGCTGATATTGTTCATGATGTCTTTGCTGCCGTTGATACGGTACTGGATATATGCGTTGAGGTCGTTGCTTATCTCTTTGTTGTCATTGAAGTCATCAAGGGAGATCTTGGAGAAGGGCAAAAGGCTGGTGATCTCCTATGGAAGACACAAGATAAAAACATTTGAAGTCAGTTTTATTCGAGAAATGATGCTGCTCAATTTCCTTCTGTAACAATGACAAAAAAAATCTAAATTACATCTCAAACATAACAATAAGTAGTTGTCCTGTTAGTCTCTGCGGTATTAATTGTATCTCTTATTACCACAACATACAAATAGAATAATTATGCCCCAAAGCATCCTTCACATCCGGAGAGACCTGCCATTTGAATAAAAATGTCCTTGTCTGCTATTACTATCAGAGTCTTTGCGCGCTTGGAAAGCAAACACAACACTGAGCTATCAGGCAGAAGCAGACGCTTGTTACTGTTGGAAATGTGTCTACAACAAACAGGTTCGGGGAGAGTGAGTATTACAAGGCAGGGGATGGATGAGGAAGTGGACAGCCAGTGACCAGAGGTCTGAGCCAAAGCTCACATTTCAATCTATGTCCTGGGGGCTGGAGAAATCAATGCACTTTAATCCTGCTATCCCCTGCCTGTCTGAGGCTAGAGAAGCATCACCTCAGTGAGATAACACTTCTCTCTCGCCAAGACAAGGTACCTCAAACATACAAACACACAACCAAGAGTCTATGAAATATACTGATCATAATCCACAAGATGGGTGAGGTGCTACTAACACCTCACATATATGCCAGATATTAGTTTGGCAAGCAAATCCCAGAACTGTGACACTATTCATGACACCTCTGCTCACAAATATGGTTCTATTGTTAGAAACTGAGAATATTTTTTCAAGGCTTCCTTTCTTCCTTCCTTACCACAGCCTCAACAATGAAACAAAAAAGGCTTTTCCTTGGTTAATTTACAATCCTCAGACACTGTGACATGAAAACTGACTCTAGAGCTCAGAGGTTACGACACAAATTGCTTCCAATTACTAGAGTTGCCACCTCAGTTGCTTTGCCTCCTCCAGTTGACAAGTTGAAGGAAAAATAGTCACAACCTTCCCTTCTGTTCCAGAGTTATTGTGGTAAATAATGGATAGAAAAGAGGTGTCTCTGAAGAACATCATGACATCACAGTGAAGTTCACCTTTATACCTTTATACATTATCAGTTTCTCCAATAGACTAACCATAAAGATGCATGATACGTCTCCACTTACTCCCACGATCCAGAAATTAAGCTAAAATGTGTACTTTTATTTTTGTCCATGTCCTGTGCAGTAGCATGGATGAGCCTGGGATTATGACCTATACTGCAGCCCACAACCAGAAGGGGGTTGATATGCTTTGGTTTCAGCTTTGAAGAACTATAATGTTGTCCATCTTTCAATACAGTCAATGGTCTATCCATGGTAAACGTTTGTGCCAAATTTAAAGAATTTCCCTCGAGGCGTTCTTGAGAAATCAGGATATATAACGAGAATGGGAGGGACAACCAACCTGAAAACGTAATGGCTCTAACTTTGCCAGCACAACATAAAAATGTCTGTCAGAGTCCACCTACACTCCTCACAGAAACATTTTAAGCAAATGGCCTTGTACGTAGTCAACTGGAACATCACTGCAGTTCATAAACACAAACTGACGGATTGATAGATTTGATCAGATGAAGACAAAGTGTCACGGCTACATTATATTGATTTAACACAGAGAACCTCCCAGAGAATTAAAATTTCTCTCACAGTTGCAGGGTACAAACAAATGGACTCAGCAGACTGCATGCTCATGGACATTACTCTCAGCATGGCCACTGCCTGAGTATTAATAAATTGAGTTCTGGATGACAGTCAGATATCACATTATTATTCCAGGCTCAGCGCTTCATCTCACCAAGAATAAAAAAACAGCCGTCCTGTGTCTCATCAAGCATAACAAAGCCTCAGCCTTTGTCAGAGTGAGTTCAACACAGGCCCAGTCCATCTCTGTAACTCATCGACCTAGTGTCACCAAGCCAGTCTAGTTTTAAGTGAGTGACTCCTGTCGTGTACTCTTGATTCCTGATACTTCCATTCCTTTGAATATCTTTGATAAAAATGACTTTAGAAGGAGCAGATCAGTGCAACCTTCAACTTTCACAATTGTCAAAATCTATAGGGTCCGATGTCAAGTAAGCAAGAGCATCGAGAAGTGACAGCCAATCTGACTCGTGGTCTGTTTTACTTTTGTCCACTGACATTGTTATGTTCGACAATTGCATTGGGAGAATTCTGAAACCAAGGTAACATACCCACTGATTATTAGCTCCACCGAGGAGGTTGTTTTTCCATGTTTTGTTTGTTGGGTTTATTTAACCGATTTCCAACCAACTTGGTGGACGGATGGGACCATAGATAAATGAATAATTGAGGTTATGAGACCACTTTATTTTCTAGAACTAGAACTAGAAAATCAATTTGAAATGTTTAACCTGTCTCAACAATGATAGTTTGAATAATATATATTTGTGGTCAGACATTACGAGCTCAGTACAAGTGTTTTTTCATTTAGTTTGTCCTTACCAGCAAGTTTACCCGGACAGTGACCACGAGTTTGAGCCATGAGGGGAACTTGGCAATTATCTTAGTGATGAAGGAGGCGATGGTGTCCCCGTAGTCAGGCTTATGAAACTCTGCTTCGTTCAGCCCATCTATCAAGATGATGTGGTCGTCCTCTGCAATCTTACGCTCTGGAAAAAATACAGGGGATTTAAGGGAGGTAAGAGGATGTGCAGTGAGGTCACATTATTAGCTCAAACTTAACTGCCCCTGGGTGAAAGTACAGCAAATTCCTTTACTAAACTTCAGTCTCTCAAAGGTGCAGTTAGTTTGAGTGGTATGAACCTTTATTTTACTTAGTTCATCATCTACACAACCACTGCTCCCGAAACAGTTATTACTTTCAGTGGTAGCCGGTTGAGTTAAAGGGGAGGAATAAAACAATCTTTCATACACATCTAAATCTTATTTGACAACCATATAATGCTTGCAAGCTGTCTCTTTAAGAAAGAGCAAATTAAACAAATTCTTCAGTCATTACAGTTGTTTGGCAGATGTTTTTTGTCTTAAGAGCTTTTTATTTATCCCATACACATACTCTAGAAACAGAACACTCTTTGAATGTTAGGCAACTGTCTTTTACCTTTACGAAGGTTAGCTAGTGGCTCCAGGACACCCCTCCGGAAAGCGGCCATCGGGTCCTGGACGCAGGAGCGCAGACTGAGCATGCTCTGGAGGTGGGGCTCTTTCAGCAGCAGCTCCCGGTACGCACCGAGCTGGTGAGCTCTGCACAGCAGGGCTGCAATACTATGTACAAACTCTGGTACCAAGCAAGTGTACGTGTTGTCCGCCTGGCAGTAGTGATACGCCACCACCTGGAACACAGAGAAGAGGGAGGAGAAGCAGATGAAGGCAGAGTGAACCCAAAATTAAGATGAATGAAAACATGCTGGAGTGATGATTGAGGAGTTTTCTTTAATTAACATATAAAACAAATTTGTTTTAGTGTATGCAAACCTGAGAACATGAAATCACCTCAAAACAAAGAAAACAAAACTATTGATTAAAAAAAAACTCAGTGGCTCCAATATTAATTTGATGCCTTTTATATTCATAGTGTCGATGTATTCATATATTATCACTGTATCTAGGTTGAGAACATGATATCATCTGAGTCAGCACAGAAGGGATGATGAAGTAACTGAGCAATGGCTGACCACCTCAGACAAAGTATGAGAGCAGGTTACTGCAGTGTTTCTAAGTGTAAGGAAAAGGGAGGAACGGGGGATAGAGATGAAGGAAGGAGAGATTGGGGGATGTGTGACTCTGTTCTAATTGCAGGACAACCTGGGGAGCTGACGCACTTACAGGAGCACGTGACGTCTCCCTCCCCTGGCTCTGCCTGCCTATTGCTCCATCAACTATGATGACCAGCTTCTTGAAAAGTAGCTGACAAAAGCTTAAGGCTTAAAAGCCCTAGCAGGCATGGAAAAAGTCCCCCCACTTTATATTTTATTTTATTAAAGTGTACTGTACTTCAAAATGCTTCAGGCAAAACTTTCTTCTCAGCTTTACCGCAGTGACATTTGATAGTGAAATCATATTTCTTTTATTTGTAATGGAGGGAATATAAACCACATGGGCCCATAAATCCAACATAAGCACTTCAGCTAAAACAAAGTGAGACACTGCCACAGTGTTCAGGGCTGCTGTGGTGGGAGAGGAACGAGAGACAGAGACATCGCGTCCGTCTTAGGACCACCACTGTGGCTCAGATGTGGGTGAAACCTTGCCTAGTAAAAATAAAATAATAATAAAAAAGACGATCTATAGATGTAAAAATAAGGCCACATAAAATCAGTATACATTCCTCACCAACTTAGAGCGTTGTAATGATTCTGCTCAATGAGGAGAGAAAATTGAATTGCTGTCTCTTTTAAAGAGCTAGCGTGTTTATGAACAGCTAATTTGGTAGTTACAAAGAAAAGTTATTTAGCCAAACTAAATGCACCAGAAAATTTAAGAATACAACAATCCTACAAGTTGTCGGATCACTGTGCAGTTCTCACTACACAACCTGATGTCTTGTGATCTGCGGCCTTCCAGAAAGATTTTGCGAAAACTTCCCAATTTACTGGCGACCGAAGGTCTCACACTACATGACGATTCATCAGGAGAAACTCTCATCTTGTATGTCTAGTCAACAAGTACTGTGCCCCGATTGACTGTTGGTGTGGCAGAGTCTTCAAGATATTTAGCCTGCTGGAAAGAGCTGGAGGAGGTGAACGGCATTTTCACACATCAAACACTGATTTGGCTCAGATCTGAGCTTCAGTTGGCGACTCCCAAAAGTTGCCAGTGAGTGGAAAATCAGGCTAAAAATTAATGTTGTGTAAACTTGGCACAAGTGTGCTATCATCATAACAATTAAGGAATAAAAATGAGAGAATAGGAACTTACAGAAAAACAAACAAACAGTGCAGCTGAAAAAAATCTAATATAACACTGGTAGAGAAATGTGTACTATCATTTATTATTATTATTATTATTAAGCCATGATGGTGCACCAGCCAAGTCAACTGATTTATTTTCATTACACACAAAGAAGAGAACTTTTATGTGGTCGTTTAGTTTAAAAGAATTAAGACAAAATTCATTTCAAATGCTGAGAGACAGTAGAACACTTCTCATTCGGGTCGTTTTTATGTGCCAAACAAATTAAGAGAAACAGACTAGAGCTGTGCAATTATATTAAATGAATACAGTAACTTAAAGTTAGCTGATGTTTGTATGATTACAATGACTCTGGAGCTGCCAAACAGACTGCAGTAAGAGCTATCATGGTGTACAAGTCATGCAGACGACAGCTTCATCAGAGTCTTAACAACGATGATGAAACAATCCGCAGAGCACCTGCAGTGCTACTGGCACAGCAATGAATTTACTACTGAGCAACAATGTAAGAGTCCGACGCATAAACGTTGTGATAAACTATAAAACGTAATGACCTCAGTGCCTCTGTGAGACCATGTTTAAATCAACAGTTAAAAAGCACTGGAGGAGTTTAACAGAAGCTGCACGGTGTTGCATCAGTTTTCTGACATCACAGGAGCAGAGCTGCTGTCGAGCGTCTGCTGGAAACACTTTACACCATAATTGGCTTGAGGGAAACTGCTTTGGACATTTAGATGAGCCTCAATAGCATCCAGTCAGCTGTCTGGTGCACCAACGAGAAGTCCAACACATGTACAACAGTTGCCTCATGCAACATTTCACTACTAAGAAGGAATCCATGACATGAAAAGAGTGTTAAACCCTGAAGGGGTTAGAGGGACACCAGCATGTAATCGGTAACTTTAACACAAAACTGAAGTAGTCGAGTGAAAAGAGTCGAGTATTATAAAGCTGTGAATCCTAAATATTCTCTGAATCACAGTGGTTCCCATCTTTCTCATTCAAGCTTTCAGCAGGCAAAGAAACGGCAATGTTGACGAATGCCTGAAAGTTTCACTCATCTATAAATGTTTAAAAACTGCAGTGAATGTTCAGTAGTTTCACTGAAGCTGCCAATCAATGCTGAGCACGTCTTATAAACAGAGACTAACAGAGAGAACAGGTGCAGCCAGATTCAAGAGAGACACAAGAGAAGTTTCTGCCGCTGGGATTTTTTCAAGATGCAGATATTATAAAAATATGAATTCTGACGATAAGAGGGTCATTGACAAAAGCAAACCGCTGTGACACTTTAATAGCAGCATCCCAGGATGTAAAGCCACTAATTATAAAACCAAAAGACAGCTGAAAGCAGCATTACCATGGACCACACTGGAGTGCACGACCTATTCACTGAACAAGTTGGATCATTATGGGAGAATGCATCACAGAGCGTGGGTTCAACTCAAAGTCTGGCTGACTAAAATGCAAGAATATTAAAACTGTTCATTGGCTACTATAAGAAAAAAAACACTGAGAAATATTATCTTAAAAGCTGTTACAGGTATGCAGACTATCATCTATCTACTAATTGCAGAAATCACTGTCTGTCTATAAGTATATCTAACAAAGACATATAGACTTTTCACCTTCAAACACTCAACACAAGGAAGTGCAGTGTTGAATTTGTTGCGATTTGGACATGTGATACATTCATGTCAACAGAGATTGATTCTCTGGATCGGGGTTCTGTTGCTAAAAAACAATGAAAAGCTATTAGAGTTAATGCACTTTTTTTTAAGTATTGCCCATTTAATGTAGTGCAACTTGATGAGCTGTTAAAGACAGAAAGTTGAGACATAACCCCTAGATACTACAACAGTGTCTATTCACCTATTTTATTATTTTATTTACCTTCAAATGAGAATATCAATATAAATACAGTAAAATTTGCTTAGAACATTATGGTAATCCTTTTATCCTACAACCTGAGAGCTGCCTACAGGATTTTATGGTCACTCAAGTTTGGCTTTATATAGTGTTTATGTAGTGTTTATGTAGCGTGCAGGTGTTGAGTGTTGAGTAATCCTGTAATTCAGTGCCAGTGATAACAAGTTAATCCCTTCATATCCACACCCTATGAACAGAACTCTGCTGTGTGGTGTTGTTCTGTTATTCATTGCGGAAACGTTTTGAGTTGAGAGCCGACTCAAATTGAATCAGTCAAACCTGTTGCCATGGGAATACAGAAAAAAAGTAATGAAACACAAAATATCAAAAGCTTACATTTTTTTTAAAAATAAATACAGAATGGGTTTTGAGTTCTGTTCTGGAAATGAAATTACAGTATTGTATTACAGACAGACAGACATACTGATCGCTCTATCCTCCTGCAGTATATGCCAGGGGAAAAATAAAAATATAAAGACAATACAGATGCACAGTATAAATGTGTGCTGTTTTCTATTCTGACTTTACTTTTAATGTGTTCCTCTGGCAGCAGAGTAGTCTAAAGTTTTCACAATTCACAATGCAGATGCCGTCTGTCTGAGAGCTAAAAGGGCACGCTAAAGATCTACGGCCAAAGTTTTCCATCTTCCCATTTCCGTAATCGAGCTGCAGTACTGAGATGCTGCGGACATTTAAAACTGAACTCATTTTTCACAGCAGTCTTTAACTAACTGCTGCACGAGTCATACCCTGGCCTGTGGTATTAAAGGTCTCTAAAAAGACCAATGGTGGCACTGTCTTTCATAATCTCGGCGGACTGCCAGAGACCATCAATATTTCATGCGACGAATGTCAAACAAATGAACACAAACAACCATAAATCACATATAAACATAAATCAACTGAGGGTAGCCGAGACACAGATTTCTGCAGGACACCTCATACATACTAAGAGCCGTTGTGCACACCACCAGCCCCTTTGTAATAATGTAAGTGTCAGTGGCAAGCACACACAGGGGAACTGAAAGAAAGGTACATATATAATGTGTAAGAATATAGACCCAGTGTAGCAATGCCTGATGGTTCAAATAATAACTGATATTTAACATAATGATTTTTTTAATGCTGAGGTCCTGGCTGTAGTCATACCTTTGCAGCCAGGCGTTTGACGGCCACCTCCCGCCGCTGCTGCATCTCAGGGGTTCCGGGGCAACTGTTGGTCCTCAGGGTGTTGGTAGCACTGGAAGGTGGGGTGGGCTGCGGGGGCTGGCTGAGAGGAAGTTCTGTGCTTGGTCCTCCACCACCTGAGGAAAACAGTATGAATATCACATGATCGTGATTGGATGTTGAAAATGCATATTACCAGTTTTTTTAAAGAAGCTATTTTGAGAAATGTATCCAAAATTGAGCAAGGTGTTTCGATGCTCGCATCAAAAGCTAAATTCTGTAATTCCTTACTTTTTGGGGAGGCACTGGGACTGTTGGAGGCAATCTGCCGCATGCGGCCTCCGTGGCAGCTCAGCGCTACTAGCCGGGAGATAATGGCCGTCTTCCCGTAACCCACGCTGCCCACCACTACAGCGCCGTGGCTCTCCGCAGACTCGCCAGCCTTCAGGACATCTTCCAGCTGCTGAAAGAGCCAATCTCTGCCCACGAACACAGAATCTGTGGTGATGCTGGGCACCTCGAACAGCAAGGGCTTGAGCATGATGTCCACAGGTTTGTAGGGAGCGAAACGAGCTGAGGAGAAAGAATGGAAAATGAGAGAATGAGTTGTAATTGTGAAGTTATTTTTCACAAAACAAAAATATGCAGTGTTAGAGTTGCTTTTTTCAGACAAAGGAAACACAAGCTTCAATTTGCTTTTGGGATTAATCCCACTACCACAACCAGAGAAACATCATCTTTAACACAAACAAACCTGGCTACATTTCCATAGCTTTCTCCTGTGCCGTGTTTATCAGAAATCTGAACACTGGGGTCTAGAAACTTTGCTTTTCCACTGTCTGCTTTAGCTTGAATCAATGTTACTTTAGGCGCAATCACAACAAAAGTGGACTGGATGGACGGAGGACTCTCCATCAGTCCACTTCAGATCTAATTAAATCTTAGAACAATTTTTCAGTCAGGAGCTCCTCTATACTTATACGACTCAGAGGACTGGTGCTGCTGCTTTTACAGCTACTGCTCATACTAAGTTAAACGTACTGCTTTTATTGCTACAATATATATATACTTACTACATATACACTATTTATAATAGCTATTCCTCTCTAAAATATACATAAGAATACAATGGCTTACTTTCTGTGCACAGATTTAACCTACAACATTTCAGAACTAGGAAAAAGTGTAATTTTTGTTCTCTGCTTTTTAAAAAAAATAAATGTTATCTCTTACAGAAAAAAATACTTGAAATACTACTACTTATTAGTAGTAGCAGTAGTAGTATTTCAAGTAATAGTTGTTTGGACAGGAGAAAGTTGATAAATAAACTTCCTTTAAAAAGATGGTGGCCCGACTCCTAATACAAAGACTTTAAGGACAAGGGAAAATATATCACCAGTGTATTTGTAAAAAAAATATTATTATTGCAAATATCATGTACTTAGTGTCTGTCTTGTCAAATATATATATGTACATTGAATTTCAACAAAAATAGCTATAGCAAATTATTTTGACCAACTGCTGGTAAAGTTTGCCAGAATACTTTTGACCTGATGTATTACATGAGCTGTGGTGGCGTCGCCTGCCCACGCTCCAACTCTACTGCATGAAAACAAACCACACCTCAGTTCTCGACTCTCTGAAGTCAAAAACAGTTATTTACGGAGTGTTGCATACAGCTGTCTACTGTAATAATAGAGGTGTTAAGCTAAATGTATATCCATACATACAGAACATGACTTGAGTCAGGGCAGACATGGGCTGTTCCACAGAGATGATTAACCATCCACATGGGACATCAAATTTACATGATGTAGCTGTAACAACTTCATGTTTAAAAGAGATGTAAGAAAGGAAGCAGACGTTTTCAAAAGAGGGTTAAATACTTTGAGTATCTAATGATGTCGTTTTAAATTATGCATGTTATCATCAAATATTCAATCTGTGGGATTTCGCTCTGTCAGATGGAGAATTCAAAACATATCACGAAGGCACAAGCGGGAGAATGAAGTAATCTTTACATGAAAGAACCACCTCATTCTTCCGACATACATTTGGATAGTGTAGCTTTGAATCCACTCAGTGCAGCTCAGTGTTTACATTGCACCATGTGTCAGCATTTGGACAGTTTCACTTTTGGCTCGAGCAAACTGGATATGGAATTAAACAGCTCTTTTTAGATGTAACTCTTACTGTTAAAAAGAGCCACAATTCCAGAGCATGTGACCCAATATAAATATGAAAATCACCTACATTATTATAGCTGAAACACAGCACTTTCGCCTGATAATCACTGTCATTATTTTTAAATCCAATGTGCTGGAGTTTAGCCACAACATGTCAAAAATAGTGAAATTATATAAAATCTGAAGACAATAACTGCAAAAATGTGAATTACTAACACTGTGGCTGACGAAAGTAAAAAATAAACCAAGGAACTTAACAATAAATGTAGGGCTGCATGGTTCAGGAGAAAATTAGAATCTTTATTTTCTTGCTTAGAATTGATATCATGATTCTCTCATGTGCTTTTTTTAAATATACATTTGTATTGCACTCATTGTTCTGCAGAAGGCAACAACAAAAAATATGATTGTGGCTGTTCCATTATTGATGTCTGTGCAGTGGGGAGGCGGCTGGGACTTTGATGTTTTGTTGGTCTTTACAGCTTCGTCTTATTGCATCTTGTGGTAATGTTTAAGGTGATAATATACATTTGTGGTTTTACCCTGTGGTGCTGCTAATATAGCAAAAACACAGCTTACAGTGTTTGTGGTTTTGACATTCATCGTAGTTTCCTAAAAACTTCCACATCACAGGGTAGGAACCTTATTTCACTATGAATACAGTGGGATTGGTTTTCACCTCCTTTAGCAGGCGTCAATTTGTTGTTTATTTTTTCTCTATTTTTATTTGGGACCCTACAGGTCAGACCGAGCATCACAAACAATGTAAACTCGAGCTCAAAATAAACGCATCAGGCTCATGTCAGGTTCTGACATGAAAAACACAACGCTGTCAGGTACGATTCAGGCTGGGCTTGTTTAGTTCCATTTTGAGCTTGGACGAGTTCGGATGGAAAAACTTGCTCTATTTCACTGCCGGTTTTCTGCTGCTTTGCATTGTAAGGAGTAACAGCTTGTTGTCACTGGTTGAAGAACAAAGTAATAGAGCTTGTTTTGATGCAGCTGATGTCCTAAAATAAAATGAAGCATGATTGTTGTGAATTGGATATATGATGCATATGGGTGTCAATTGAGATGACGATTTGAATATGATTCAAATCATATGCAACAGCGGATAAAGTTATTAGCAGTCGCACCTTTTCCCTCATCACCCTGTCTGGTTCATGTGTACCTAAAGCAATAACACATGCTAACACTCACCTTTAGAGTCCTGAGGCGGCCTTCCTCCTGTATTGTGCCAGGGTAGGCGAATGGAAGTCCGCAGGGGGGTGTTGCGCTGTTCATCAAGAAAGCTCAGGTCTTCCAGCTTTGTGGAACTGGTCGCTGAAGACAGACAGAAAAAAAACCAGAGAATGTGAATCAGACTCTTTGATGGTGCGTTTTTGGCGTATTTGACACAGCGACATGAAAGAGACAGAAAGAGACATGAAAACAAGAACAAGATTTCGTGGCGTCTGCAGGAGATGATGAGTGAGGAGGCGAGCCAGTACGCGCTGACATTTGTAGCTTGCTGGAGGCTGTGAGTGCAGGTACCAATGTTCTGCAGCATCTATAAGTCAAGACAGAAATGCACCCCTTTGATTTGAGCTGACAGCTACACACAATATAAAAGTGAGAGGTCTATAATGCAGAACAGACCACAACAAGTGTAAGTTAACACACCACTCAAGAACAAGGCTGAATGATGAGATGCATTGCAAAGAACCAGACAAATTATTTTTAATATTACGCTGAAGGAGACTTTTAAAAACAGGAGACGTTATAAAGCCCCAAACAGATAATGTCTCCTTCTCGCCCATTTAAAGTATGGTCTGTAAATATCATAAAACATGTGCATTAGTGCAACTAGATCTCTCCTCGAACGGCTGTTCACTGTTCAACAATGTCATCTCCATGGTGACCCACGCGCTCTCGTTCTGGGCTGAAGAGTGGAATCAAAGCTGCTGCTTTCTTTCTACTTTATCGACCTCAGCTGGGAGAGACTGTCACAAACGCTCAACTCTTCTCCCCCACTTGGTCGCTAACTTACTCTCTGGAATTTCCCACTAATTAAAACCTGACCGCTGACAACGGCATAGCGGAGAAAGCTGAAATCACAACACAATGTTGACGGGGATAAAGGAAGGGCCCTCATGGTCACTTTTTACTGCAGTAGATGGCTCTTTCACAAGCTGATATGGAGGACTAAATTGAAATTACAATTGTTGTAGGTTAAATTAAAACTGAGGAAAAAAACATTAACACACAAATGGTTGAATTACTGAGCAACGCAGCACGAACACTTTATCAAATCTGATCCTAAAGCTAAACTAAACAGCTACTTACATCTGACAGCAGAGCCTGGAGGGACAATGGGGATTCTCAGAGCCCTCCCCTTGTCCCCAGCATGGAATATATTTGGGCAGGGATACAGGCAAAGTAGGCAGGGTGCAGACCCTTTAGCTAAATCTATGAAGAGTGCTCCCGGTGGATGAGCTCACCGAGGGCACAAAAGCAATTCCTCTGCCCCAGTGCTCCCATGCAGGCACACTGGCAGCATTCAGCTGCTGAGCTGAGGGCTTGGCTGTCCCCTCTTCAGTGCTCAGCCAGTCACAGCATCCAAAGCATTAGGCGCTCACTATATGAATACAGAGGAGTGTCACCCTCCCTACACTCACTAAAAACGTGCACGGACCTCTCTCTATGTGCGCACACGCAGACAATTTGGAACAGAGGATGAAAAGCGATGGAATTATAGGGAACATAAATGGAAAGAAAGAGATTTTGTCTCCAGTGGCTGATTAGAGTTTGTAGTGGACAGCGACTGTCGTATTAATGATTGATCTTGGCTGCAGTCAGGTGAGGGAGAAGAGACAGAGAAAAGAAAGAGTGAGTATATGACATTGATACTGTGGGGAGTGGGAGGTATGGGGTAAGGGAGATGTGTTAACAATGGAGGAGAGAGAGAGAGAGAGAGAGAGAGAGAGAGAGAGAGAGAGAGAAAAGAGGATGGACAGTGAATCAGCTCTTTGCTGCAAATTGCCACTTCTGACATCAGTGGAGCACAAGAAAACATCTTCCTATTTCGATCTTAAGATTTCTGAAGTGAAGAAGGCAAAAGTTGCACAAAAGATTACTTTACACAAGGTACATCTTTTTCTCTAGTGGACCAGAAAAGCTAAGGCTGAAGCAAACGCTATAAATGCACACACTCCTTTATTCCTGTATATATATATATATATATAGTTATAAGCCCCAAACCATTTTCTTTTTTGTGAAGTCATATCTCTTATCCACACTTCTTCCAAGGCCAAAAATTTACTTCAGTCCTCTTCAAATCTTTTTTTTTCTACCCTTGGTCTCTGGATTCCTTCCTATTCTTGCACATCTCTGTGCATTGATAAAACCTAAATATGATACCTTGAACCCTCCGTTGTGCTTGAAGTGAATTTGAAGCTGCAGAAACGTGTATTCTGATGAAAATGGGATTCCTTTTTCTTCTATTTTCCTCGGGCAGGTCTGCCCTTTGAAACCTGCAGTTCTATGGTTCCCATGTCAGAAGAGAGAAAAGGACTGAGCTCCTCATGCTCCAACCCCTGCACCCCCTCACCCATGCCCCTGATTTGACTTTCTTCTTCTTCTTTTACAATGAATATAATCAGCGCTCTCTTCACCTTGCCCACCATCTTGCCTCTTTTTCAAATTGCAGGAGTTCTTTGTAACCTTTCGGTGACACCGTATGAGTGAGAGTGAAAAGAAAGATTGAGGAGTGAGGCTGGAAGTTCAGCAAGCTCTCTCTAAAATTAAATGTGTATGTGGTTGCCATGGCAAAGTAATTGTAAAGTAATAATTACTAAGCATTGCTAATTATTAAATAAAATTACACAGTAAACAGCTTGACATGTTCAGAACATGAAACCGGGTAAGTATGACTCTTGACCATAAAAATCTCGATATATAAGAAAAAACATTATAGACTAACTATTATAAAAGATATAATAAATGTTCACCTACCCACCAAAAGCAGGGCCTGTGAACTCTATGCTCTTAACGCCTTAATGTCACCACTACCCCTCGCTCTGCTCTGACCTCTTAATTCAAAATGTCTTTTGTCTTAGTTGAGTGTAAATTGGATGGTCTGCGTGCAAATTTGTCTTGTTACCATGGAAACTTTCCTCGAGACACAAAAATGTATATGCTGGAGAAAGTTTAAATGTGAAAAGTCATTTTGTGTGATTAGTAATGTTTTATTGATTTCACTTACATTTTAAAAAATTTTTGTTTCCAACTGCAGCATGCAAAGAAGACTGTTAAGCACTACACTGAAAGGGACCTGCATGCAAAACATGAAGCACAGGCCAGGTTGTACATGACTAACCCTGAGCCAAGAGTTATAGCCAGAGGGAAGAAAAGACATTAGGACATTCATGCCATCATAACTGTCACACAGCTCCTGTCCTGCACAGCTATTACATCATTCTCAAAAGTGGTGTGTTGTTAATCAAACTTCCACAAATGGCTCTGTTGTTACAGAGACTAGTTAGCTAACACTGTCCCTTTGAGACTGGGCTCTTGGTAGATTCTGATCTGTCAATGGAGTAACACTGAGCAGAATTTTAAACGGCTCCTCAAACCTCAAGAAGATTGATCTCAGCAACGCTTTTTATTTTGCTCCCGCTGTGACCAAGTGGCACCAACAATTCTCTGCAAATGGACATTTTAAAAGATGTGAGGGCGACCTTTTCAGAGAGCTGCTGCCTGCTGGATATGAATGGGTCATCTGGTTTCTTTATGCTTTCTTTTCAACTTCTGTTCTAAACGGATCAATGTCTACATAAAGCCCGAGGCAGAGGTGAATTCCATGGCTACCTGATGACGTTACAAAACACTAGACAACATGCAGACATGTCTTCAGACAGGGTTGCAAAACTTACAGTAGACAATACTGTATTTAAAAAACTGCCTGGAAACACGTGAGCTAGAAGCATATCATATAAATCAGTTACATTCTGCCTTCCTGCTCCAGTACTGCAGAGAGAGCATAGTATACTGAATTTAAAAAATCATGTCATCTTTTTGCATCAGCACTGCACCACTGAAACATTTTGTATTTTGAGATAATCACTGACTGACCTTTGCAAACATCTCTGAGTCACAGATTATGTGCAGGGTCCAAGTTTTCTTCATAAAACACAGATTTCAAGCTTGGTTCAAAACTTACCTCGTCAACGTTTTTCCTAGAATCTGCTCATCGACAGTCCAGACACTCAGCTGAAGACAAAGTCTGACAAGGATCTCGGATCCATTATTACTGCTGAAGGTATCACAGAGTAGGAGCTTTGCCAGAGGAACAGACGCCTTTGAAGTGCACACACAAACAATGAGTGTGTACTGTACCACTGTGGCTCAGACCACAAAGCGCTGCTCAATAGCTAAACACCACAGAGGCACTGTAGCGCCATTCCTTAGCCACACTGACCCTAACTCTGTCTTTCTGTCTGAGCAACATGACCACAAGCAGCTCAAGCTAAGATTTCAAAATCATTGAAATTCCAATGGCCACAACTAATACGGCCCTTTGACTCTGTAAGCCTTTTTAAAAAGCTTTACTTGAATGACCCAAAATAGAATTCTTTATTTACTCAATACACTGAGGTGTGATGGAGGCACAGAGAGTAAGACACGAGTCACATTTTGTCAAACTGTGTATTTATAGATTCAAATAGGGATAAAATAATCTAAAACCAATATCTGATATTGATCTTGTATTGAGTCAAACAGCTGGATTAGGAATCATTGACATTAAGGCCAATATATTAAATTCCATACTATTTTATTTTCACATATCAGAAGAAAGAGAGAGAACTAAAAACAAAGGGATAGCAGTTATGAGGTATTTTTGTCTACGCCTCTTGCAATATCAGCGAAGTCAATGTTCTGAGGGGTGGCAGCAGAACACATCACAACACAACACATTTACTCAAGCACCTCCTTAAGCATCACAGCAAAATCAACGGCATACAGGACGGCAGATATTGGATCATTTGAACACATGAAAGTGTCAGTGTCACATTATTGAAGTTAATGTGCTGATTGGGCACCTAAAGAAAACACCTAACAGGTTAAATCTAACATGCTGTGAGATTTATTTCCACTAAAATACCGAATGGCTAGAACCAATAATGAAACCAGAGCCATGATAACCTTGTTGCTCATGAAGACTGCTGAGACTGAGATATGACAGCAAGAGTGTAAAATTATGAAACATGTGGGGAGAGTGGGGAATTATTTTGCTTCATCCAAAGGTTCACCTCAAAAACAATATTCAACATTTAGCTGTTTGAACATTGTCTTTTGGTTTTAGCATATTCTCAGAATATTTCGTGAAATAATTGAGTGTGTCTCGACTCTGCTTTTTTAAGATTCTCTTACCAATCTTTCACCTTATCTACCTTGAATTAATACCACTGACAATGAATTCTGTATGTCCTTCCGCAGGAAGACTCAAAAACTACACAACTGATTTCAGTGACATTTTGTGGAGGGGTGGGAAATAACCCATGGAGGAACCAATTCAATTTTGGAGCAGATCCGGTTAAACAGGCAGATCAAGGATTTTTTCCCCCCCACTTTCTTTAAATGGCAATATAGGGCGTTAGTCTTGGAATAGGGATGTGCTCTCCTAACACCGTTGAAGTTGCACATTTGTTTTGTGGATAAACAAATGTAACTGGGTGGAATTGTGATTTATGATATTGCACAATACTGAAAAGAGAACATATTTGGTCTTGCATCAAAAACAATAAACCAGAAACGATGCCAAACAAACTTAATCATCATTAACACAGCAATTTACTCTATTACATTGAAAAAAATGGATGGGTCTGTTTTACTGGGCTGTAGAAAAAGAAAGTCAAATATTTCCTATAGACTTTTCTGAAAACAAAAAGAAACCTAGGAAATAGCCCTTCACATTGCTTTCTGCCCCACACAGTCTATATATGAGGTCAGCTATGACCTTTAAAACAGGATATATTTGATGTTAAATGGATGATAAATATCTGTGCTGCCTGTTGGGCTTTGCCATGGCAACAATTTTTTAAAGCCTGCCTTATAGCCTGCCAGATATGGCAGAAAATATTTTTTATAAAGAATGGTGGCTGAATACCTCAGAAAACTCCAAACTAATGATACAACTACAAACAGCTCCTGAGGAGGCATCTGAAGTCGGCTCTGTCGGCTGTGACAGATGCTGTGCGGGCCAACATTTGTGAAACTTGCCATAGCACAAGCAGACTTGCTTGAGTTCTAGCTGCAGACCAGCGAGATGCTAGCCGCAGTGTGAGAGTGCATGTGTTTACCGAGAAAGTGCAAATGACACTTCTCAGTAATATAAAGACATTCCTTGTTCATGCATAGCTAACATTCTAGCGGTCCAGCTACACACTGGTTGACTGGCATCAGACAGATGGATGAAATCCACTTTGCCTTTCCGGAATTTTGGCCTTTGAGCTGCAACTCTCCAGAACTTTATGTCAAAATCTCCACTGTGTTGTAGTTACTTCGATATTCCAATGATGAGTCAACTGATAAAAACATGGCAGTGATGAAAGGATGCTTCGGTGTCTCATTTAGATGGGTGAAATTATACTGCATGTACATGTACAAAGGTACCACTTGGGTAGTGTTGCCAGGTGCCATAACAATATTACATTATCAACTATTTTCAAAATAGTTTTCTATGGAAACGGTCGACCAAAGGTTTGGGGAATATAAACATGCACACACACCCAAACACACGCATATAGTAATATTGTACTGTATATATATATATATATATATATGTACAGTAAAACCACTGCAAGTTCATTTATCTGCTTTTATTTCAAGTTTTGAATCACTGTATTTAAGCACGAAGTATCCAGGCATTATATCTAGTTTCCTGTTGGCTCTCTATGTCCTTGTTTAGTGTCAATAACAAATTGGCAAATTCACAGCAGACACATCCCCAGAAAATGAACCTTAGTCACAGACGTTGTGGCACACGCATCTGAATGCACTAATGATGAATACATTTTTAGTTGCGTTGCACAATGACAGCTCCTTTCTCCTTTCTGCTTCTGTAATTGCTTCTTTAGAATCATTTGTTATTGAATACAATTTCCTTGAGTATTAACCAAGACTCAGCACCGTCCCTGGCATGCTGTGAAACCAGCTCAGATCGGTTTTGGGCCATAAATGAAGCTGTTTCACCACCGTCGTCCATCTCCTCTCCCAGGGCTTTTTCATAAGGTGTAAAAATCTGAGGTGTGATTTCCACAGGTCCCTAGAGGGCAACGCTGCATAACTATGACATCAGCTCATAAACTCTCTGAACACAAGCACGCTGGTGATCACGCGCAAACCAACACACACAAACACCCAAATATTTCCTGGTCTTTTAACTTTATGAGCTAGTGTGTGTGTCTGCAGGTTTATGTCGGGGGGAGATAATGAGATGTACAAGGGTACAGACCCATGGAACAACAGAATGGGCAATGAACAGACTGCACAACGCCATGAAAAAAATTCATGTTAACAATGTGGGCACAGATTCAGCTATAGAAACACTATCCGAGTGTTGTAAAGAAAGCAGCGCACAGTGTGATATACATAAGCTGTGGCATGTGTTCTGAGACCAGGCTGTGCACCAGCCATGCAGGCTACTATTTGTTCTGCTTCTATTTCAAGGCTCCATTTTAACTCTTTTGCCAATAGTTAAAGAGAACACTGCAAGGATAATTTTCATATTCAGAGTAAGCAGACCAAGACCATCAGCTACTTGTTGTAAAGCTTTTAAGACAAACATGTCTCTTTGTCTTTGTCTCGCCCAGACTTACTTACTGCGCCAAGGAGGTTATGATTTCATTGCTGTTTCTCTTTTAACAGGATTACTCATAAACTACAGAGAGGATTTTATTGAAACTTGGTGACAGGCTGGGGTATGTTCCAAAGAATAAATCCATTAACATATGGTGCGGATTTGATTAAGAGGATCCTGGAATTTTTTGTCACTTTCTTTAACATTGCAAGACAGGGCATTTTTATGAAACTTTAGTGAGTTTGTCAAGAAACAATCTCTATAATAGAAAAATATTCTGTTTGTGAATATGCAGAATATGTAGGCAAGGGACAAGATTTTAGAGCTGGAAGCCTGGTTTCCATGTCTAGTTTGTCATGTGTGAACAGGCTTTGTTGCCTGCAGCTTAACAGGAGACCAAAAGAGGCGGAACACCGTAATGCATGGGTTATCCTTTTTTAAATGTATCTGCATTCATATGCAGATAGCTGTTAATAGGCATAAGGACATAATGTTGTCTGGACCTAAACACCTACTAAAAGCATCGCTGTCTGTGTTTTGTGTGAAGTAACATTCGACATTTGGTAAAAGAAACTAGTTGCACTGTAAACTGTAGACAGAAAACTTGGCCGGGATAGCTGGTGTCTATACCCGAAATATCCAAATATTGGCTGTTGCCTCCAGAGGCTAATTTTCAGATGATAGCTGATGGGTGAGATCTATGAGTGTGGGCTATTTGGTGCGGCTTGATCGAATTTAAGGGGACAGTTGGACCTTGGCAGAGGTATACTGTGTGTTTTGGATTTTTCCCCCTCGCAGTTCTGCCTAGTCTGGCCATGCTGTAGTAGTATTACTGTCATTTCAGTGGATTTGTCTGCAAGAGCAATGCAGTGTGACACACCGTTCATCTTCTCTATAAACTTTTTAACTGTTTTTTTTTTCTATTTGCTTCTGTCACTGTCACTCGCCCCTTTCAAACAATTTTTACCTTCCCAAGAGGATTGGTCTGGAGTCTTGTCTGCAACAGCTTTAACAATCAAATATGTTTCTATTAGTCTGTCCAACATAATAACAAGCATGTGCAGTATGGTTCCCCTGGGTATGGACTGAGATAACTAGCATGTGATGTGTGATGTGCAAGTGGAGCTGCAGACAACACTGCTTTTGATTCACTCGTACATTCCAGTTCATCTTTAGCGAATGCTTAAGCTAAAACACAGCTCAAAAGAATTCTTTTGACTTGATTTTTCTTGGACTTTGCATTTACTTGGTTTTAACAGAATATGTAAAACCTGTCTTCAAAAACAGAGGGAGTCAGTGTGAGGGGAGACCTGGGAATGGAAAAGGGGGTGAGGGGGTGAGCGAGGGATATCAACAACTGTGACAGCTGTGTGGATACGGCGAGCTGAGCCAGAACAGGGAAGTTCCAGGGCTGGAATGCAGAACAGATCGGCCAGACAGCGGCTTGTGCTTGTGGTCCAACATGGCGGGCAGAGGCCGAGGCGCAACACGCAACAGCTGGCTAATCCCCCAACTTCTGCCTTGATACCATGCTCCTTCTTTGAAAAGCACAACCTGTCCTCTGAAAAACACAGAGTTCCTATTCCCTCTGTATCTACATGTGTTTTTTTCTGTCTCTGTCTGTCACTTGCTTGGACTACAAATGACACCGTGCTTGTCAGCCTCAGGCACAGGTCAAATTGTAGCGTCACAATCATGAACTGCCTGCCAGTGCAGTGCAGGAGGACACCCAAGCCCCAGTCAACATTACAATGGTTACTAAGCTACAAGAAGAGAGGCTTGAGTGAAATGTTTTGTTTAATGCTAAATTAAAGAACAGGTTCACTGAGGAGAGGTATACAGAGCCATTCCTTTTTCTGTTCTGCACAGAGGACACACAGATGTTAAACGCTGAAACCAGAGGATCATACCTGCTACGGAGTTCGGCCTTGGCATCATGAGGGAAGAGGATGTGTGTGGTGGGTAAGGAATGGGCCCCTCAGGCGAGTGAGGCTGTGGCAGCGCTGATAAGTTGGGCTGCTGCTGCTGCTGGTCTGTCCTTGATGAGGCGTCGACTGGCGTTGCCGTGGCGCTGTTGGCGTCTTCTTCAGCCACAGGAGAGCAGGTGTCGGCCCGCACGCCTTGTGCCAGGCCATGGCGCACGCTGCCTCTCAGGCTGCCATCCTTACTCCACTCCAGGCTGGAGCCACTGCGGTCATCGTTCTCCGAGGAACTAGTGATGGTGGCTGAGAGAAAACAGGAAGAATTAGAGCAGGTGAGGAGGTAAGATGGAGGACAGAGGTGAGAAATATGAGAGTTAAGTTCTTTAAGTGCTATGAAAATGTCCACTTCTGCCATGAAGGTTATCATTTCATTGCTGTTTGTCTTTTTTTTTTACCTTTTGAAGGATATTGCAAAACCTACTGAGCTGGAAACTTTTGGAACAGATTCAATTAAGGGGGTGGATGCAGGGAATTTTTCTTTCTTTCTTTAACATTGTGAGATAAGGTTTTAGCCTTCGCTGAAGGATGATCTCTCTGAGGGCCTCCAGGTTACCTCCATCAAGGAGGTTATGTTTTCCTCTGATTTTGTTTTTTTTCCCCGTTATAACTGGTAAACTACTAAATCGTTTCCAATGAATTTTGTATAAATATACAAAGACAGACCAAATAAAATGTTGGTGTGGATCACTTTAACATTGTAAGATGTTTTCAACAATTTCCTTGTTTTGTCAGATAAAAATTGAGAAGTCTGGATGAAAGAAAATCAGGCATGTTAAGGCGAATGATATTTATAAGTGTGTGCAATTTGTTGCTGATCCAAATAAAAATCAGGATTTATGTGAATTTAAATGTGGTTTTATAAGGGGACTGTTTGAACTGTACTAGGTGCAATTCTAGTTCTATGTGAGATACTGAGCTGTAATTGAACTTAAAACTTTAAATTTTTCAAATTGTCCTCATGAACACTGTTGACTTGCTGATTTTAATTTACAGCGATAGCCTGTTTATACTGAGGAAAACTGGAAAGACACAATGACATTAATTTGCATAATTTGTTTCCTGGGCACAGACTCTTTTTCACGTTTTTTTCTTTTCTTTTGTTCAGTTGAAGGATCCAACTCGTAAAACACAACTGGATGCTGCAATAGCAAACAAACTTCACACTAAAACATTCCAAAAATAAAAAATAAATGTTTAAGAACTGGTGCTAAAATCTGCCTTTAGTGTTTTTTTAATTCAGACAGGTGTTTTAGTTTCATGAGAACAAATCCTTTAATCCTCCCCAAGACCAAACCAGCCACCGAGCACGATCCCCAAAAAAAGCGGAGCAGAGTGCCAAAGCCACACAATGACTGGCAGCTGGATACAGAAACATCAGCACAGTCAGAGGACTGGAAGTGACCCGGCAGCTGTCTGTGTTTGCATTACACATAAGTAATCTGGGTTTTCATAATGCTGCGACATGTAACATCATGACTAATATTTAATATAACAAACACATCCTGGACATTGTGAGTGCTGTGCTGAATATGACGCTACTCATGACAGCAGTAATTTCTAGCTGCTGTCAGCATAGCACTGGGAGTCATCACACTGTAGAGGTTTCAGTGATTGTTTATTTGGTTGAATTACAGCCCCTGACAAATAAATCCATGTAAAGAGATGTTTATGGTCATAGCTGTCAGCCTGTTATAGGTCCTCCCTCAGCAGCCTCGGGCAGAAACTCGTCTGGGGGCTATTTTGTAAATGTTAAGACTGTGCAAAGTCTCCCTGATTGCGCCAAAGAGATTTTAATGCAGTACACAGCCAAATTAATTTGCTTTCTAAATCAGAGTTGGAGTCAAACTTCAAAGAACAAGGAACATTAATCACGGCTGGAATCTGACTTGTGGACACAACATGGCTTTGTTCTTCTCTGTGCCTGCACAGTCGTATTAAGGCTGGTGGATGAGATGTTTTGACCAGTTTTGATTTGACACGAGCAAAGTAGCTTTGAAACGGGCCACAGCACCTGCTATGTGACTGTGTATGTTTAAACCTAACATGGGTGGCAGCCTCTGAATATTCTTTACCACAGCTTCCATTAGGTTTGGGTAGGATTAACATTTGAACCTGTACATGAAATTCGATATAACAAAATAAAGAGTTTTTCTTGCATAGAGAATTGCGGTACCCTCAAAAGCACAGAGTTCGCTACACAACTCTAGCTTCCATACATTATTTAGCAATGAATGGTGATATTTCTGCGGGGGCACAGAATTACTAACTCTTCTTTAGCACTCGTGTCAACTGTGCAGAGCTGGAAATCAAAAATTGTTGCATTATATTTATTGTGTATTGCTTTCTATTGTGGACAAATCCTGTCAGTTACCTCAATAACAACAGATTACAAATGATTTAAATTAATCTGATTAACTGCAGTATCCAAAACTTACTATATACAATTGAATCCTCGCCACAAATATCCAAACCCAGAATGATATCCTCACATTTTAAAGCCGACAGAGGCTTTGTGAGAAGAAATGGCAGACGGATTAATACATGAATAGACGTCATCTTCCTGTCAGCTTGTTTAAATCCCCAGATGTCTTACAGGGGCTATTACTAGAGATACAGTACAATGTCAAACTGTGGCAACTGACACCCCGGTGATCTCTCATACCAGAACAGCTCCATACAAACCTAATAACTGACACATGGTGGAAGATGAATGCAATCTGACACAACTGCGCCTCAGTCCCAGTGGGTGTAACAGAATGATGAATGGCTGACACCATGTAGGTGAGACTTTTGCATCTACATTACAAAGTGTGCATGAGTTCATGATCTGATTACAATTAGAAATAGAAGCGCTTCATTGGAAACAGTTTCAGAAGCAATGAAAATGCAGAAAGTCCGTGCAAAAGAATCTGTGTTGTTTGTTGCATTGTGCAGAATATATGCTAAAAAGGAGAGGAATTATTAGAGAGAGCTTTTGTTTTTAATCACTTATATCATTAAATCTATCAAATAAGGCAAACACTGGTAAGCCGTCTGTAATCAATTAAATTGTTTTTAGACAGTGAGTAGTAAATGCATTTTCTTCCTCACAAAACATTTGGTCCAAGCCAATTTTTAAAAAAGAATCCTGAGACCTCACCTATGATCCCACTGTCCTTGCTCTCAAGAGTGGAGCTGGGACTGGTGATGGTCCCGCAGGGGCTGGAGCGGCTGAGAGGGGGGCGGCCGGTTGTGCTGTTGAGCGTTGAACATGGGCTGTCAGTGCTGGGAGATGCCGTGCTGCTGGTCAGCGTAGAGCAGGGGCTGATACCCTGGCTGGTCACTGAGCACTGGAGAGGAGGAAGACAGACAAAAGGGTTAATTCAAACCAATAAATCAAATATGTCGATAAAATATGAAGTCAACTCTATTAAAACTGGCAGCTGGCAACATATTCACACACTGTCAGCATGGGCAGACATGCTAAATACAACAAAAACATTTTGCCGACTGCCTTTGGAAGGACAGTTAATAATCATAGAAAAATATCTGATATAAGTATATTGCCTGTTTGACCCAGATCATGTGAAAGCAATGCTAAATAAAATTCCTCACAAATAAACAAGCATTTCACGTGTGAGCATGACACACTAACCAAATTAGCACTGTAAATGGAGCAAGCCTTGGAAATTACACAGTCATGTATCTGGGGGAGCCAAAATAAGCCTGGAGAGAATTTCACAAGGCGAAGAGCTCACACAACGTTGACGTGACACAATAGACACCTTTTTCTTGTGTCATCAAGCCTGTCTGACAAGCTTAGAGCAGCTGCATCTTTGTTCCATCCAACTGACAACCATAGAAATCCAAATTAAAGCCAGTTTGTCCAGTTTCACCATCTTACTTCAACTGTATTGTGATTCCACTTAATATACTGTAGCTCTAGAAGGTTATCATTGTCCCAGTATGAGGAAAACCAGAGCCTGACTATCACCCAGCAAGTTTTGAACCAAACAATGTTAATTCAACATATTCCTCTACATCAGTTTCTTTTGCACCAGACAGAATGATAACCTTACAGAAACATATAACATAATTAATTAGCTTCTACAAGCCACTATTTTTGGTAACTTGGTTCAAAGCAAAAGAATGCATGTACATTTTTTCCAATATCTCCCTCCTTTCTACAGAGAACTACTCCAATTACAGCCCACTGTTAAAAGCCCAGGTCAAATAAAAATCTCAATAAACTAACCTTGTTGTCGATATTTTGCTGCCTGAGGGACTTTCACCCGAGCAGGGCTAACTACAAGAATGTGTATCACCTCAAACAAACTCCATTAATCAAATTCTTTGTCTAACATTAAACCATGACCTCAAATATCCTTAAACACCCCGGCTTTTGGTCTGCTTTTTCTCACATACTCCAATAAAATAGTTGAAAGTCTTTGTACCAACTGGACCAATACTAACTTAAAATATGTACTGAGTAAGGTTTGTAAAGCAACAGAAACATTAATTTTTTAAACAGTTTTTCACAGAAACTTGAGATCATATGCCTGATTCTATAATAATATAGCAAAGTCTAAATTTAGGTTGACAGTTTTGTACTATATATGTATATATAGTATATATATTACTCTTTTCAGGAATAAATATTTACTTGTTCAACCAAATCAAACTATATAGCAAACATGATCAAGTCTTTAAGTCTTTGCACATCAAGTCCGTATTTTTCATACAGGTTTATTTAATCTTAACATGCACAGAAACCTTGCACATGCATTTGAAGTAGTGAGGATGATTTTATGGTCCTCTCAGTTAAGAAGAGGGGATAAGAAAACTTGGGACCATCTAATCCTCAGCGGTCTTGAAGAACAAGGAGAATTTCATCTTTTGATCAAGTCTATTTTAGGATGTCAGTGGTCCAGTTTGATACACAACTAACACTGAGACTGCACGGTGAAAAGAAGAAAACATATTTCCAACAACAAAAGCAGCATATCGAACCTGTTCTGAAAACTAACATCAGACGAAAGCTCCAGAGTCGATTTGTTACGTGGTCTGCACAATAAGAGGTTATTTCTATTTTTAAACGTGCGACAATTCTGAATGAGCAATACGGACTAAGTGAGCAAAGACCTTACATCAGTTTGAGAGAAAAGTGGGACTAACCTCTCATTCAGCATGTAGTGACTATTGCAGTCTGATGGTCAACATGTTTGACATATAAACAGCCGACTGGGGGGGAGGCTGTGTGCTTGGCAGCATAATTAATGACTTGCTGGTATTAACTCTATAACATTTCCTAAATGCAGGTAATTTTTGCCTGGCAACTTCCTGCCTGGGGCTACAGCCCAGAGATTATGCCACTTAATGAAGTCAGAGCCAAACAGCTTACTGACATTAAATAATTTACTGTGAGGCCGATCTCAAAACAACACGCTGAGCTAACGTGTTGTAAAACAGCAGCATGGAGGAACAGAGAATTGTTGGCAGATGAAAATAATAAGCCTTCCTTAATCCTGGCTCTGCAAACACACACCTTCAAGCACATAAACAAACAAAGTAAAAACCATTACACTTCAGTTCTGCCTGTCTTCTCTTTTGACATTTAAACATGAACAATGGACATGATTCATGAAAAAGCTTCTTTCAGCTTCTTGGATTGCCGGTTCAGTGTCAAAACGTGTCTGAGACAGGGGGATGAATGAGGCGAGCATAGTTGCCAGGCTCTGCTCTTCATACAGCCACAGCTCAATTAGTAGAGCCAAACAAACTGAGGCTCAAAACTAACATAACTCTATTTCTGGACCTGGACTCAGACACTCTTGTTACACACTCAAGAGCCCCTGGAATAGCACTCAAGTTACTGGGAGACTAACACACACTGCTACCGAGATAAAAAACACTTTGAGCCAATTTTAAATAGGTATTTACTCTATTTAGAATGTTTTTATCATCACAGACAAAACTGTTTGGTAGTTACCGTTGTTTGTTGTGGCAAAAAAAATAATTCCGAGAGTTCCTTCCTAAATCCTCATTAAAAGTATAATGCACAGGGGAAGAAAAATAACAAAGCTGCAACAAAAAAATCCATTCTTCTGCTACACTCCCTCCTCCTCTCATCCTTTCCCTCTCTCCTCTATCTCTCTATCAGTGTGTTGCAGCAGTGGCAACAGCTGCTGTTGGAGGAGGGAGGAAGCTGGAGGGGAGGGAGAAAATGAAATACCTTCTTTTCATTCTTGTCGTCCATAGGTATGCGTGCCGAGCCCGGGATCCCTTCTCCCAGTAAAAAGCCCAGCCTTGTCATCAGTTCCTGGGTGGCAGGGGAGGAGGAGCTCTGCTGTTTCTCCGCTTGCAGCTCTGGAGGGAGAGAGAGCGAGAGACAGAGAGAAAATGCTCAGTGTTACAGCAGGAAAGATTCTCCCTCTCTCTCTCTCTCAGCTGGATGGCCCGCACATGGGCCACTCTGCCTCGCCCTGCCCCGCACCGAAATGCTTTGCTGCACTCCCCAGCTGCTGCTGATGTAGTGCAGACCTGGAGAGGGGGAGCAGAGAAGAGCAGGGGGGGGAGAGAGAGAGAGAGAGAGAGAGAGAGAGAGAGAGAGAGAGAGAGAGAGGGTGTGTGTGTGTGGTGGGGGCTATAGTGTGTGTGCATGTGTTCTATAAGAGTCCAAGTGCATGTGAATGTGTAGCATTGTTTAGAAAGCAGAGGGTGTGTGTGTGTGTGTGTGTGTGTGTGTGTGTGTGTGTGTGTTTTTGTGCGCACATCTTTCTCAAGTGTTGGTTTGAAACCATCATTGTGAGGTTGGTTCTCACAACTTCAGGGGGTTGTTAAAGGGTTAATTGGAGTAAGGTTAGGTTAGGGTAAGGGGCTAGGGACTGCATTATGTCAACCAACGTGTTTTTGTGTGTGTTTCTGTGTGTGCCCTGCAACATGCCTTGAGTGCCAATTCTAGAGCTTTCGGGTTGTTTACAGCTCTCACTCATGGAGCCTCTGAATATCAATGAGTGGACAGAAGCTTTTTCCCAGCACAGCTCAGACCATCTGCAGTCTTTACTTTCACACCTTAATACCGGCATAGGCTGCAATTTCAAGGTTGGTGGTGCCATCAACAAGGCAGAGACCACATGCAATCTTTTTTTCTGATGAGGTGTTGTTTTATCTTTTTGCATATACTAACTAACCACCACCAACAACAACAACCCATACTGGAGACAGATAAAACAACTTTGCAGAAACTGAGAAAGAGTGTTTTTGTCACCCAAGTATCTGAAATGCAGATGTGGTAAATTAATCAAGACAGAGAATCTGAATGACAGACGGATGGACAGAGAGAGAGAGAAAGAGAGAGCATCTTACAGAAGCTTGTTATCCAACTCTCTGTCAGCACCTTTTCCTCCGTCTCCTCGTTTTCCCCTTTAGCCCCTTTCTTCCACAGTTATTAATAATGTTGGCAGTAAATCTGATTAAATACAAATAAGGTCTGATGGCACAGTGTACTGCCAAACCTCGTCTGAGTCAAAAACAATCTGCCAAGCACACACAGACACACACGCATACTAGGGATTTGTATGTCCATCACTGAGGCTGATTTGATTCACATCTTTGATTCAATGTGATTTTATGCAAAATTTTATTCAATATGGTAGATAGTTTGATTGTATTTCTTTGGTTCTACTTAAGCCGGAAGCAAATAGTAAATGAAATGTTTCGGAAGTGCAATGTTTACATCACATATTTGGAACTATCATCTCTTTTACTCCATTTTTTAACTTCTAAAAAACAATCATTTCAGAATCCCCAATATTCATCTTTGACACACTCGATCCTGACTTCTTTAATCTCAATCAAGCCTAACTCAGAAATCTTTCCTCCTGACTTGTCAAAACAAGGCATTTGAGTTACATTTGACTTCTCAAGCTTCACCAAAGAGAGTCTCTTCAGTCAGAAAGAAAACAACTTAGTGATTAGATCTCGTCGATGTGTTCAAACCACTTAAGAGGGGTTGACTCAACGTCATGGTCCTTCTGGAGGCTGCAGGTCGTGTTGCTGTTGAACTGTATCATGTTGTTGGGTGTTTCTATAATTTAATCCACCCCATTTCTATCAGTGAGGCTAAATAATATAAACACTTCTCTGGATGACGGACACAGTATATTACAGTACCAGTGAAGATCGATCTGCTAAGGACAGTATACGACATCAACAGTAGCGGCAGTGAGGGCAATATTACAAACTGATCCACCGCTAAATTAATTACCCTTTTTGAATTTTCTTTTAAATGAAATGCTGGTCATGATTAACATGCCCCCAGCTGTTGCCTTCTGCACAAGAGAAATGTAGCAGAGGAAGAATACGCCACGCCAGCAATTTAGCAAAGTCTTCTGTACAACACAGAAGTAAGCATGGCACATGTTGGGCATGGTCCTTCGTCCTTCAGCCAAGAACAAAATGTGTAATAGAAGACACTTGTATTGTGAGTGATGTCAGACAGAGCACATATCTCTAAGTTGAGGCTGTGCAGAATATTTACGTCTGCCCACTGCTTTCTGATGTAATTATGCTTTTGTGTTGGCACTGCTTTTACTCTTGGAAAAACACTTGCATTTCATTTTTTGGAGAAACTGACATGATATTCTTTAGGCCTGAAAGGAAACAGCAATAATCCAACAGGCCAAAAGGTTTCATGCTGAATAAACTGAAGCTTTAGTCTTTGCAGAAACAGATATTGAATGCTAACCTTATACATACTGGCTGCTGCACTGTCACCACCCTTTCTTCATTGCAAATATTGTGCAGCATAAGAGAACATTCATTGAAAATCAATGCTCTGTAGGGAATGTCATTCCAGTCTTGTGAATGCTTAAGATGAGACCAGTTCAAAGACAAAGCTGAGGCCTGAATGACAATTCACTGGATTATATCACCCATCATCCCACAGTCCAACAAGAATGTGAATGAAGATAGACGACAATGGCAGCTCCCCTAAAGTTAAGCAAAAGCACCTCATTCGCCCCTGGTGGCTGGCTACAGTCTGGGTCATTAATTCCACCTCCTCTTCAGTACCTTTGCTTGTGTTGTTCTTATGTGTTCTTCTCTTTAGCTCTTAACGTTTGTGTAGCTTGTGTATTTGTATGTTTACACCGGTGGACTGAGACAAATGCATGTCAATCCCATCTATTTCCTGTACATATGACTGAAAAGTTTACTCTGACTCCATGTTTGTGGACAGGACATTTGTCAAACTAATAAGTCAAAATATACATGAAATACATTTTCCTCAAACATGGCTTCTCTTATTTATTATTTTTTCAGTTAGTGGGAGGATGGGGCAACATGTCGTCCGTTTTTATAGAAAGTCTACGGCCCACTCACACAGTTGTTTCCTTATAGGACCTCTCCTCAGAACTGTATGAACAAATTGGGATTGCCATTCACTTTTGTGACACAACACAGTCATTTTCAGCCTGACTAGCCAGAGAAATTAAAATGTGTGCGTGTTTGTGTGTGTGTGTGTGTGTGTGCTTTATGACTCCACACAACAATATAATCACATAAAATTATAACTTCTCACCTACCACAACATGCACACATCTTATAAACGAGGAGCAGGAGTCTGCATCATACTTGTTACTTTGACAATGTGCGAAATGTGAGTGTTCAATGTTCTTCAGCATAACCTTACTTTGACATCTTTACTGGATTTTCTGTCATTAATTCCAGAAATAAAGAATGAAAAATATTTTTTTATTATAATCTAAATCACTTTTGTGTAACGTCAATGTGCCATATAACTGAAATGTATATCTATAATTAAGATATATAATGAGCATTACGTTGTTAAATGAAACCATGGACAGATATGAAAAGTACACAGCAACACATTGCAGGCCTCATCAACTTTTAGTAGATGGTCTTTAAATAGGGCACCTTACACGTCACACATTTATGATCACTGACAGTGACAGGTTGTTTTTTATACGATTGGGTTTTGGCTCCACAGTTGCAAACATAATGGATCCACCGACAGTATAAATTATGTAGAATCACACCCTGTGACACGTGAATGGGACCTCTTCAGTTTTTTCTGTGCGGTGAGGGAAAACATAAATGAAAACATTACAACAATGCTTTTTCAAAACTGAATAAACAACATGCAGTTACTCTTTAAACTGCAGTTGTACTTGCTTTGGGTATTATGTAATAAAATACAGAAAATTATCTAATTGTTGACAATAATTTATTGATGAAGTGATAATTCACATTTTTGTATATTGAAATGTGACTCAAACAAGCAGTTCTTTATTTATTTTTTGCGAGACTCCAATTCATCCCTGGTTCTTTAAAACAATGTCAACGATAGAACAGGGCAATTGTCTAGTACAACTAAATGGTCAACTGTGGGACCAGTTTCTCCTATGGGTGCTTCCATTCTATTTATTAGACTATTTTACTCCAAATGGGACCATAATTTAAAAAAATGAAAATTGTGCTGTATTGAAGAAGACTTGAAAGTAGAGATTAAACTCATAGACATATAAAAACAGACTTCTTTTTGAAACATATCTACTGTAGGTCCATTTTTATGAACAGTCTATGGTCCCATTCCTATGGACCTCAAATGACCTCAGGACTTTGTTTGTCAAAGCAACAATGGCTCTCCCCTCGTACACCACAGTCAAAACTTTATGAATCGGTTTAATAATGTCATAACTAACATTATTTATGATTCTGCTGTGTGCATGATGAAACTGTGGCAGAGGGCCAACAGCAGGTTTGTCACTACTCAAGATAGAATGATTGTATTTATCCGGAGGGAAGGTGGATATAAATTAAAATGTCTACCTGATGCAAATTTGCTGCCTGCCTGCACTACAAAGTATCTGATAAGTTTAAAAACCATCCTGGATGATATGTAAAAAACAGGGATTAAGCTGGAACCACTTTGTTATTCCAGTAACTGTACAGCAAATGGAAGCAAAAAACAAAACAACGTTGTTATCTGCCGCCTGAGGAAGTTTATGAGCAGCTGTGAAATAACAGCCGTGTGGAGCAGTCAGCGATAGAGAAATGAAGACGGAAGGAGGAGGAGCGGGAGAAGGATGGAGTTGGAAGAGGTGGGGCACCCTGAACAGACTGGCTTCACAGAGTTGTCTCGGCTCTCTCCCCACTGAGAAAACAATCCAGCCGGAGCTCATTAGCAGCTGGAGTTTCATTACCACAACAGTGGAGCCTGTTTAATGAACCCTCAATGAGAACATGCATCCTGCCTCACTGTTTTAAAGTCCAGAGGTACCAGGTGACGTGCTCCCCTGAAGCACGCAGAGTGCCTAGCGCACATTCCAAGTTAGAACCGCAAA